TGGTAAATAAAAATATTCTAAAGCAATAAATTCTGAAAATCCAGTGATAGCACAGAGAAAAATGAATGCTTTGACCCTAAAACAGCTGAAAGGAAAAGGGATTCTTCCTGCTGATTCAGCAAGGATTTGGGATGTCAAGGCTTTCCCCATTGCCTGAGCTAAACCTTGGGATATAACAGCACAGGAATTATTATTTAGGTGTTAAAATTGTACTAATTCTACATCAAATCCTGGGCTACCCATTCATTAAATAATGTGCAGATGTTGCATCTCCAAGATTGCCTTGATGATGCATGTATTAGAAAATTTCTGTTTTTACAGCATTTGAGCATTCACCGAGATTATCCATTTAATATAAAAAAGTGCCTTTCAGACCTGAAAATCAAATCATAAAAATAAAATGCAGCTCTGAGTTTCCAGCAGAGCTATTCTAAACCCCAAATCTGCACCCTGAGCTGGAGCCTGTCCCTACAACAGGAGAAGTTCCAAGAGGACTTTGGGGTCCCCTGCAGCAGCAGGGGCTGACAGACAAAGTCTCTGAGGGGTGGCACCTCGGAATAAGTCTGAATAACTCAGTCTGAAAGTTGAGCTAACAGACTTTTGGACAGTAGTAAATCACTGTCAAACAATGAGAGACACGTTGATGGTTATAACTCTTTTCTCTGTTGACACATCAATCTGTCTGTCATTCAGTGCAGAACAGAATCCATTACATTAATATGTTTCCACAGGCAAATTGAGAAATTGTGATTTTAATCTCATCAGGATGGTTATTTCTGCAAATAGCAATTTTAGCTTGTTTAAAGTTGTTCTTATAATAAATTAAATTTTAGTTGAAGAAATTAAACATTTAGTGCTGAAAACAACTAAATATTAGTGCAGCTAAATTGCTTGTAATTTTTTTTAGTGCTAATGCTTCTGGAGAAGGTAGTAGTGTATAAAACAGTAATGAAGATGCTACACATTATCTTCCTCAAAACTAGAATATTTTAATTCATGGATATGCAGATGCACCAGATATCTCAGGTATATTAAAAATTCACAGGGGTCTTTCCCTGCTCCATCCCCAAGCAGCATTAGCTGATATATGTGGGTTCAGTCAGAATATTCCAACACCCCATCAAATAAATAAATAAATAAACTCTCAAAAAGCAGAATTGTATCAAATCCATGGCATTGCCCCTGCAGGCCCAGATGGAGCTGGAAACCAAGGAAGGCTGAGAGACTGGCTCCCTGAACTCATTTCTAACACCAAACACCACACATTTTGCATAGAAACTCTCTTTTTTTGGAGTTCACACCTGTATTTTGGAGAAAATCGGACTCAGCCAACCAGCAGAACTTGTGATGAATCTGAACCAGACCTGTGAGAATTCAAGCTTTTGCCTCTCGGAAAAGAGTGAAGTGTTTCACGATATTTCACATTTAAAGTGAGGGTTTCTCCTGGTACCAAATCAAACTTAAACCAACTGACTGAGGTTCTTTTTTTCCTCTAAAGTTTTATTCATAGTCTTTATACTTCAGCCTAATATTTGCTCTCTAACAATCATTTTAGTGCCCAGACAAGTGTAAATAATTTTCTTTGTGGTCCAGTACAAAAATACTCTTCCCTAATTCAGCCCACATGGCTAGAGCTTGAAAGGTACCTTAATGAGACTATTTTTTTTTTCCAGCTTTTTGAATATTTGCAGTAATGACAAGGAAAAACATGGACATTCACAAAGCAGCAAGAGCATCCTGGGCTAAAAGAGCCAACTAAAAATTATTTTTTTCAACAGATTGGATGACACAGGTAACCTTTGCCATTCCTCTGTACTTTACATGAGTCAAGGGAAGACAACATTAAATTATACAATGCCAGGTATGTAGAAATGATAATTTCCTGCTGATAGAATTCTTCAGGCAGCTTCTCTGAAAGTTTACCTACCTTAAAGAAAACAAATAATATTTCTCTGTATGTTAACATTGTGTTGACCCTTATGTTCACATTTCTATGGACTTGTGGAAGAACGTGGTGGAAATACCTGGTAAATGCTTGTAGAATTAAAAACCAAAAATCTGACTTGTGAAAATGGTCTTGGTATCATAAAGCTCATGAAATCAGGACAGTCACTTATAAGTTTTAGCAGATGGAAAAATGTAAACTCCAAGGCTCAAACAGACACAGAATTTAAACTTGTCTATAGCCCATGGTCTATAACTCCTTTACCCCCACATATACTTTTATCTTCATGTAAATAACTTTGCATTGTACCCTGTTTTGTACATTTGGCTTGCACCAGGTCTATTTCAGATGACAACTCAGTACAAAAAACTTGACATTAATGTTCAGGCACTATTCCTTCCATGGCAGGCAATTATGACAGAGAATTCTTATTTTTTTCCTCTTTTAACCTAGAGGTGACCTGCCACTGGAATGCAGTTTCCTCTCTCATAATTGTAAAAACACTAATAGCACCATGTCATGCAACACTGAGAAAAACCCCAAACAAACAAAAAAAGCCTCTCACAGACCTGTAATACCATTGTTACTTGGATAATAAAGAGGGGGATTTTCCCTTTATGGCTCAGGGATGGACACAAACATGACAAATAATGAGACAAATACCAAGGAAAACTAACAGGATTTTTGGGACAAGTGACAGAGACATGGGGATGAGCCCCTCTGCCACACTGCTGCTGAAATTTGTCTGCAAATGGTCACTTTGGACGAGAAATGGAACAGAAAGTTTTAGGAACTCTTAAAATTATTTCAATGCATGCTTGAAATATTTAAAAAATCTCTTACAATGGTCTGAGCTGGCCAGGTAAGCTGAATGATTGTTGTTTCACTGCGCTGGTGCTGCTAAACAGAACCCATCAGTGGGTGAGGGCTGGGAATCCATGGAGTACAGGCAGCCAGGGGGATTTAGGAATTACCCTAAACTAACAGGGCAGGACAGGAGCTCAACTGGGGAGGAATCCATGGAGTACAGGCAGCCAGGGGCATTTAGGGAATTACCCTGAACCAACAGGGCAGACAGGAGCTCAGCTGGGGAACCCCGAGGAATTTACCCTGAGGGGTTCCCTGGCTCACCTGGCCTGGGGGATGCAGGGATTTTGGTCCCTGATGTTCTCTCTGAGGGATGCTGGAGGGAAGCGAGCACTGCCCTGCAAAGGGAACCACCCAAATGCACTGGCAGTGACACACTGAGCTCAGCTGCCATTCCTGGAATTCCATTCCTGCAATTCCAGAAATTCACAGCTTTGTTAGCATGGCTGGAACAGAGTGGTTAGGGGCAGCAGAAATATGACTCCATGCAATAATCCAAACCTCAGACAGAAGAATTTACTTCTTTTTTCACTGTTTCCTAACCACTGTTTGGGAATTTCCAATTCCTCGCAGGCTTATAGAAATCTCAAGAGAAGCATAAAATTATTGAATTAGTTTTAGATATGCTAAGCCTTTTAGCTCACATTACATCAATGGCAAATGAGTACACCACAGTTCTAAAAGTCAGATTACTCATTCAGGATCAAAATACGACTTTGAAATATCTGGCATACGCATTTTTAAAATTCAAAATGTGTTAGTAATTAATATTTGGGTAAAAAAAAAGTATCATCAAAAGTATTTTCATGAGATAAAAAACTCATGACAGTTGAGGATCAATACTTCTGGAAAAGATTATAGTAATTGCACATATATAATTTTCAGATTTTTGTTTTGCAAATACACAAACTACTGCAGAAACCTCAAATAAATTCAATTCATACATTTCTTCCCATTGAGAGAGAGAGGAATGAACTTTGTGTAATTTATTTTTCTGTTCTATTTGTGTTATCTTATGTTTCAATTTAAACTAAACTTGTTTCAGATGACTCTCATGTAGTGAAACAAGACAAATTTTAGTGTTTCAGTTTTGCAGATATGATTTAGCATTCAAAAAAGCACCTTTACAAACCAACTCATTCTGCTGCATTTTTTAACTTTTGTAAACAGATTGCAGAGAAGGAGCCAATGCAGATCTGGACATCTTGTATGTCATCAGGCACAGCTTTTGAGTTTTTTATTGCATAAGGGATGGATTTCTGACAACACATTTTAAAAATTGCTTCTTATCCAAAAAACGACAGGCAAGAAAATTACTCATGAAGAATAATCTTTGTTCAGTGAGAGCAGTGCCCCCACGTTCTCTGCAATGGCCGAGGGAAGTGGCTGCACGTGGAACACCAGACAGATCCCAGGGAGAAAAATCTCCCCAAAACTCCTGCCACAGGGGGTTTCCACAGCAGTTTGTGGCTTCCACTCCAGCCCCTGAGTGGAACATCTGAGCTTTCCCTAACCAGATATCTGTCACTAACAAATCTGTCAGTATAAGAGTAAAGTCAGAATTTTAGACACCTTGCACTGGACAGTGCACTAAACCCCACACATGAATTATTTTTCAATAGTTGTTATGACAGTTGTGTGGGTTATGATTGTTACAGAGGATTTAAAAAATTTGTTAGTTCTTCAACATCATTAATTAAAGAAAATAATAATAATTAATAAGAGGAAAAGTTTCTTTACAAATGTTGAGGCTATCTAAGGAGCAAAAAATATTTGGTAGAAGAAAGTGGTCAGGGTTCACCATGGAAAAGAATGAACAGAGTATTTCAAGGTTTGGTCCTAAGGAATATGAAATACATTACATTTGTTATGTAATATAAGTTGTATTAAAAACTTACATTTTCTAGCCATTCTAATATTTTCAGAAGAAAAAGAAAATTCCACTCATAGACTTTACAAAATTCTAAATCAATGCCATCAACTGCATTAAACTTGTCAGGAGGCAGATCCAACAAAGCTGAACAGGTGTAAGCAAGAAATAAATATTATTATAGAATGATGGGGGAGAAAGGTGAAACTATACTGCTGACAAATGTAGGCTATTTCATTAAAAAATTCTGCTTTTATCTGTAATAATGGTCTGAGAAAGACGATGCAAACATTTTTAGAAACATTTAAAAATTCTTACCTGATGAGAATTTGAAAAGACTAGAAAGTCTAATTCAAGCAGCCACGAATACAAGGATACACCATAGAAACTCACACTCATTATTGGCATGTGTAGAATATCCAAAGTTCCTCCCTGTGTGCTCAGGAGCTCATCTGGAGAACATCCAAACATGAGGTGGTTCCTCTCCAGTGAGTTCATCTTGCCTGACATCTCTGTTCCCTTGTTCTGGATTTCCTGAACAGAAATCCTGTCCCATCTCTCTCCTACAGATATATTACACAAACCCCTCAGCACTTCAGATTCTCTGCAAAACAGACAATTTTGGGGAACAGCACCCGATTTTATGTGTTCTCCTTTGCTGCAGGGAATCTACAGTCACTGTGAATGTGTCATTTTTCCTCAGCCTCCATCCATGGTCTCACACACCCAGCAACCCTCTCCTCTGGCAGCTTTCCTTCCCTCCCAGAACAGAAACCACTCATACATTTTACTCCTTTCCCCAAAATACTGCTCACGCTACTAATTACAACCCCGCCAGTACTTTTTTAGTTTGCAAACTTGCTGCTCTTCTCCAGAAGATAAAAGATTTTTGACTCCATCCTACCCATTTTCCCTTTCAATCTTCACATGGCCTTTATTCCATCTAACAAATTAATTCATATCTGATGGTCATGGGCCTTTTTCTGGCCAAACCAGGGTTTTTTTCTGTTTGGATCTTCTGTAAATTCTGTTTCTCTTTCTTGCTGTCTCTTCTCTTCAGATCATCCTGCACAACTTGTACAAATTTGTTCTTTGCGTTACATGACATTATTTCAACTGTAGATACTGAGTCAAAAATCTTCTCTTTAAAAAATAAACATAATATTTGCAATATTTGAAATATAATTAGCAACCAGTTAAATAGCAACCATCTAAATAGAACTTGAGCCATACAGTGAATAAAAAAACTTGGTCTGAATTCCTGCACAGTATCTGTTACATCTCTGCCAAACAAAAGAATGAGTTGAGCACAAAATGAAGCTCTTGTTTTCCAACAAATGCTACTTAGCTTTAGCTCATAACATTAGCTGAGAAGATTAGGCCTATGAAAACTCAATTTTCCCAGTCCAATGGGAATAGTGGAAAATAATACACAACAAAATAATAAAACCAGCCTTGTTTTACTCAAAAGAACCTAACACTGTGTCAACATCCTCTTCAAGTGATTGATGAAGTAATATGGTGCTACACCAAAATAGGGGCTGGCTATCATTTAGAAAAACAAACACAGTGGAGACAACCAAGGAAACAATTGTATAGATAAAAACCCCAAACCACTGACAAGGCAAGAACACAATTCAGTACAGAAAATGGAGAATTTCAGAGATAGCAGTGGGGTTCCATTAGCTGCCTGGCTAATCAGGGACCAAGTGCTGACAGGTAATGCACTGGAAAAATGCTGAAATTCCAGGCCAAATTCCAGGCCAAAATTCCATCTCAGGTCATGGCTTTTGCACAGTGCAGATCAGCCAGGGGAAACGGGGTGGGAGAAGGGGCCTGGCTGCCGGAGCTGTGGGGAAATGTGTGGTGTCCCAAAAACACAGCCTCTGCTTCTGAGGGACCTCAGAAGTGTCACCAGGGGTGAAGGTGTGATCTCCAGCAGGAGGAATTTTCAGTGGAGTAGCCCTTAGGAGAAGTGTGCACCCCAAAAAGTTTTCAATATTTTTAAAGAAGCAAAAATAACTCTTGATGTTTGTAATACCGATCTGATCTCTTACCAAAAGTTTTATTGGATTTTCAAATACATTTGTAAGAATCTGCCTTCTAACTTCTGCAGCTCGTTTATTAAATGGATAGCTTTGGTTCAGCGCTCCAAAAGCCATGGAAATGTATACATGAATTCCTAAAAGCTGCTGTTAGACACACCTGCATTTGTCACAGCCTGGACAAGCACGAGCACACCTGACAATGGTCATGGCTAGAGATGGCAATGGTTGATTTGGTAATCGTGGAGGCTCCTCTGTTCTTGGAAAGCATCCACAGCATTTAATATAGTTTTCCCTAATTTTGTATGCTGCCACATGGATATTTCACTTCTGCCAGGTCACAAGAGTGTTTGAGCTCTTTCCTGATTAACTTCATGGTTTACATTTCCCAAAGTTCCAAAATGAGTGTGCAGTGCTGTGGGACTATGAATCTCCCCAGAGTACTGTAATGTCCTTGAATGGTTTTGTCACTAGAGAGAAGAAATTTAACCTAGAAGGAATGAGGTCTGTAAAGAACACAACAGAACTATAAACTCAGAGAAGTACCTGCAAGAGAAAGGGAACAGTCTGCTAACTGAATTGTGGAAGTTATGAAGCCAGGCAGATAAAATCAGAAGGAGGAACTATTTGGAACAAAGGCAGAGGGGATAGCAGCTGTGAGGGGCTGACAGAGAGAAGGATCTTGTGCTGAGGCCCCAGGTTGTCAGACTCCCAAGTTAGCTTAAAGGTCACCTCTGAAAGATAGCATTTCAAAGGGCAAATATTACAAGGTTGCCCTCTCTGCTCCTACAGCTGAATTAGGCCTCCAAGAGATCGACTTTGAAGGATGGCACTCCAGGGTTCTGCCTCTTCTCTCCCTTCATTTGTCTCTGTTATAAGACAACACTTTATATATTTACTTCAAGATCAGCAATGCAAAGAGCAATATTACATACAACAATAAAGAACATGTGCATTTATCATGATAACTATCCACTACAGAATACCAGAGCAAGAAAATTAGGTTGGGTGAGGCTTTTTGAGGTTTTTTTGTGAGACACTGGTAGAATTACTAAAAAAAGAGTTTGCCAAGACAGGGAGATTTTATTGTTTGTAAAGGAAATAAAACACAAATTGGCCTGCAAATTCTTAGAAAGCATTAATGACATTTTTTGTAACTCAAGGAGGTACTACAAAAAATCTTTATATTTGTAGGAAGAAGCTTGTTGAAAATTTGGATATAAGGCAACTGGAATAGGATGAAAAAGTTCAGAACTTTAAAAAGAAACAAAAAAGAAAGAAAAGAACACCAGCACAGTAAAATCTGTTGATTTTCAGCAGGTAAATCAGATGATGAGAACTCCAAATGTGAAATACTTGCTGATGTCACAGAGAGAAGCACACAGGTCATGCAATAACATGGAATTACTCTCAGAAGGGCACAGTGGAAGGTATCAAGAAACAATGAAGTTGTTAGAGCAAAAAAAGAAGCTGTGCTGTGAGCAGGCCCGCAGTGGGAACTCTGTGGCTCACTAGTTCCATATTCAATGGCATCACCAACAAATTACAATTATGGGCGGAAACCTTCAGCCTGGTGCACCTACCCTCACTCCATGGCCAGGTGGGGATGGGACTGTCACAAATATAAACAAGGAAGAGGTAAAATCTCAGCCTAGAATAGAGAAAAAAAGAGGTCAGGAAGCACTGACTAAAACAGACCCTTTCAAATTAGCAGGAGCTGATCATCTGCCATCTGGTTAACTCTTCACAGGGTCTCAGGGCAAGAATTTGTGTCTTAGAGGACAGAAAAAGGACAAAGTGCTGCAAAACGGACAATATCAACCACAGATATTCACTAGAAATGAACAGGAAAAGGGAAGTGGAGCTGGGAATTGGAGTCTGTGGTCCATAATTAAAGACATTGCCTGCAAATACTGGTAAAAAGGAAATAAGAGACAACAAACTTTACAAAAGACAATGCAAGGAAAATCCACCTTATTCCATTTTGCATAGGATTTCTTTACTAACTATGACTTAAAAATGAAGAAATAAAGTAAATCTAGGAAAAGGCTCTGATTTGAGAGAATTGCAAACGGATCTTGGGTTTCTAAAGAAGAATCTTTGAAAAATGAAATCTTACCTTAGGAAGATGGAAGTGCTTTAGCTGAGCACTAGAGACAAAAATTTACAGAATGTGCCAGGGACCTCAGAGGGAGCCATTGCATGTGGGGAAAAACTTGCATTGTATCACAAGACAAAACTCCTCATTTAAGATATGTGTAATTCTAAAAGCTCTTCAGTGTAAATTTAAGTACATTTTTGCATTGCAAAGTGACAAAAATCAAAATGACATATAGCTATCAGAAAATTGGACTCTTAGTCGGAATATCTTTCTAATTGTAAAGTTTCTATTTGACACGGATATAATTCCAAAATATTTCTCATTTAATATTGCAACTACTGTAAAAGAAAGCTAGGAAAGGATGCTGGTCCAGTATAGTGTTTAATGGTAAGCAAATCTGTATTTAGAGAAGAGAGAATTCGGCAAATGATCAGATCAAGAGATATCCTCATCTAAGGCAAAACCCTTCCCTACTCAAAATTTCCTATGAATCTCCTGACTGGTATTTCTTCTTTTCACACCTATTTCTGTTCATCACCTTGGAAAATTCTTGTAAGTCTAAGAAAAACATTTTGTGCTTAAACAACTCCTGCCTTGCACTAATCTTCTGACTTCATATTTGCCATCTTGCCATCTTTCTACACTACCCAGAGTGTGCTTAGTCTGCAAAAGTAGCATGGAAAATTTTTAATTCTCTTGAAATACCTGGCACTGAGCAACGTCAGGTGAAAGAAATTTAATTTTGTAGAATATCATTTGGCTTTGATACAATTTACCCTACATTGTACACTAACTCCAAATTGAAAATCAGTTTTTTGTCCAAGACCCCTTCTTCAAAACAATTAAGCTGTGGACAAGAAACCCTCTTTCTGTGTTTTCTCACAGGTGTAGTCATTGACCCCTGAATATTTGTTCCCTAATTTAAGGATACAAACAGCTTTGTTATTAACCCTCAGAGCTTCTGACCTTGCTGCTTTTGTGAAGTAATAGTGTGAGAGTGGAATTTTCTTCCAAATGAAATGTTTACTCTATAAAGCTGTAACTGCTGTATTGCATTGTATTTTTATGTTTATTGTTATGAAATGATGTTATTTGTAAGTATAATTCTGTAATAAAAACAAAACAAAGATTGATGCTGAAAGAGAATGAAATTTCAGAACATGCTATAAAACTAATCTAATACTGGAAAATCATAAAAAAGTGCAATTGCTCTATTTACAGGTGAAAAGGGAAAACAATTGCATACATAAAAATAAAAGCTTTATTTTTATAGTAAGAAGATTATGAATATTGAAGTGAAAGGGAAATCCTCTTACAAACAAAAGGGTTAATCTTAATTTTGCATCAGTTTTGACTAGAAAAGGAACATTATTTTAATGCTGTAAAACCTGTTTTGTTTTTTTACTCAGAAGTACCTTTGCATAATGAATGTTGTGGCTGTTGCAGAATTTGCCTGAGTCTTTCCACATAAATCACACTGCAGTCAACCTCCTTTTGTTTTGTAGAGCTGATGTTCAGTCACAATAGTCTCTTTGGTGCCATTCTGGAAGTACTAATTCGTACTGATGAAAGATGCAGATATTAAAATCCACTCACAAAATATATGTGCAGCCTTCAGAAATATCAAAGGATGGGGCAAAAAGATAATTCGGGATGGGGCCAGTTGGAGCCACAGAATTACGTGATGTGTGGAAGGAACAAGGAGAATTTATTCCTGGTTTATCCTAGAAAACCTCTGACACATCTGGGAAGCTCCTGGGGAACAGGTAAATCAGTAAAAAACACAATCCACAAGAATGTTTGCTGTTCTAGCAATATGTTCAGTTTTGAGTGGAATGAGTTGAAATTTCCTCCTTGTCAGAGGAGCTACTTTGAGAGAGTTCCAGGGTGATTTGTTGCAGTTTAGAAGACAACCAGTGAAACCAACCCGTGATTTTGCACCTCTGTCCTCCAAGGATGAGGAAAATGTCTCCATGTGACACAATATTCATCATCAAGGGAAGAGGTAAATTTGGAAAGCAAACTGGCATGTTGGTACAAAGGTGACTTCCAAGTCTCAACCCTTCTCACCGGAGCGTTCTTGTACGGTGTAAAGGAAAGACACAAAATAAACATACCTCAAATTTACCCTCAGCCTGCCTGTACCAGAACTAAAAACCCAATAACGTCTTTGCAGAACTTCCTGAGTTTTTGCACCAACATCTGAAATATCCATCAAGCACTGACTTTTAAAACAACAAAAGTGCTGTTGGTACAGCCGAAGAATTTATTTGTAAGGGAAGATCACATCCACCAAAATCAGACACAACATTCTCCTTTTGGAATTTAACATGCAAAAAGATAAGAAGGAACCATATTAATCCAAAGCAAAATGGAAAAAGCCAGTGGAAAGAGCTACTTCCTGAGCTATAGTAATTAAAAGCCTTGACATATCTATGAAAGAAGGGCTTGGATAATCTTTATTATATTGTAAGCAAGGCAAATGGCAGATTGATATCCCTTGGCACAGGGATACGCTACTAAATATTTGAAGACAAGCTGTGACTTCAAATATCACATCCAACTGCAACTTTAATTTTTTTTTTTGCAGAAAAAGCAACTCATGCTGAGGAAGATATGGCTTATTTGAAACTTATTTACTGTCATAACAGATGGTGAAGACTAGAGAGAATATAAATGAAAAATATGGGGGCCCAATAAATGTCAAGGCTCCCAACTTGGTTTGTAAAATTAAAAGAAAAAAAAAAGAAATAAGCTATATCTATGCAAGATACAAAAACTTAACAGAATAGATTAGCTTTTCAACATCTTGGAAATAACCATTTTTCTGCCCACACAATGTGAGATCAAAAAAATGCATTGATTTTACAGTCACTGCCATCTTGAAAAAGTTATACAGCATTATCTATGCAGAGCTACCATTATTCAAAGCTCCTTTTCAGGTTTTACCCCCAAAATTCTGGTGGATTATGACAATTTTATCAGTTATATCTGATATGTCATAGTTTCCTATGAACCCATGGTGGGGTAGGAGCTTTTTGGGCTGTGTTTGTAACCCTACAACCACGGCCTGAGGAATGAGGTCAGAGCTTGAGCCAGAACCACAGATCCAGATCCTTCTGTTGATGGGGAATTTTTCAAGACTGGGGTTCTCATTTCTAAACAAAGCAAAATTTAAACCCAGCAGAATCTGCAGAACAAGGTTATTCTTTATGCTCAGTCTTCTTTCGTCCTCACCTCAACCTCTCTTACCTTCAGAGGGAACTGAGCACCCAGGAGTAGAAAAAAGCATCTGGTATCCCACAAAACTAAACTTTGGAATCTCTTCACAGAAGAGGATCCTGGCATGGTGCATCCATCCTTATTTTCTAAAGTGTGCAGGTGAACAAGGAAACACAAAGGAAAGAACACAACCCTTCACTGGAGGAAAACTGCATTTGGCCTGCTCCTGGAGCCATCTTTGCCTTGCAATGCCTCTGCTATCAAAAGCAAACTAACTTAAGGCAGAACTTATCCAAAATGACATTAAGGGAAATCTGAAATAAATTCTTAATGTGATGTTACATAATGAACTCAGCTTGTCTTCACCTTATTGGGAAGAGCTTCCACGGTGACACTGTGCCATGAATAGACACTGTACTTAACAGAAGAGCACAAAGCCAACAGCAAAAAAATAGATATTATTCTATATTTAGCTCCTCTCTGGCTGTCTTATGTCACCTAGATGACTGGAAAATACGCCACTAATGCAATATTTCATTCACTAAAATGCTGCACAGCTTTTAAATGTTACTTTAAATCTAGCAATGAATTTCAGAATGTGGTAAGAAATGTAATATTAACTATCCCATAAAAACACTAAAAGAAATTACGTAGTGAGTATACTTTTATACAGTTTTTCTTAATGAAAAACAAGGAAACATGCACAAAGTCCTGGAGTTTTTCATGCTGCTACCTTTTATGTTTTCTGTGCATTGTATTTGAATGCTCTCCTCTTGATTATGTTCTCTGAAATACTTGTTTGAAGTAAGATACTTTATTTTAATAAGTGGAACAAAGCTTTGAATAGCTTGGTTCAAAAAACAGTTTTAAATGAAAGGAGCTGTTGCTAAGCACAGGGATCTTTGCCAAATACTTTTTAAATGGTTTATTGTGCCCGAGCAATCCTGAGATTAAAAACATCTCTTGAATTACAATGACACATCAAAAAATAAAATTAATGTGGGGGTTTTCATTACAAGAACTGAGCCTCTGTGTGTTATTCTTTCCATTAGATAAGAAAGAAACATACTGTGGTACATTGTTTTTGCTGTCAGAGCAAACTTTTAGGCAAATATACACTATCACACTACATCCCTCATGGATTCAATCATGCACTCTACAAGTTCTTCTATTAATTCAACTTAATGCTCAGGATTTAAGGGATAGACTGTATATTTTCACATATTTTTCTGCTCTGGGGATGAGTTATTTTTAGACTCCATAAGTCTTCATCAGAATCAGATCATATTGACTCATCCTACTACAATATGAGCAATAATATTGCTTCACTCTGTAATAAACATTTAATTTTCCACTGTTCTTGTGATGTTACAAAACAACTGTTTGACCAAGCTGTGGTGCTGCAACACTGCAGAGCATGTAGATCTCATTGCCAGTGAGAAACAGAGTGCTAGAGTGCTGGATATTTTAGAGAAAAACACAAGCAATAGCATTTCCCAGCTAATATAGATGTCTAAACCAGTGCTCTGAGCAGTGCAGGCCTCAGAGTACACAAATTGTGATTTAAAACAGGGAAAAAGGAAAGTAGAAAACCCAACAGAGAGAACAGCTGCTAATTGATTTTAAACCAAACTCAGTTTCCACACCTTGAAATCTTATTTCACTTTGTATCTGGGGGCTGTGAAGAGCGAAAAGCCAAAGTTGCAGATGTCTCAGGCTGGATTTGAAAGCAGGCCATGCAGATTGTTGGGATTTTCCTGTAAATCACCAACTCCTCTGTTTTGCCCAACATCTCCTAAGCTGCCATTGACAGACAGCACAAGCCCCTTGCCAGGTCGCACGAGCACCCTGGTACTGCATGGCTTTAGCCCACAGGTTTTATTGCTCAGCATCCACTCTCCTGCTCTATTTCCCAAGGACAAATTAAAATATTCGTCTGCAAGTTATAGATTACAGCAAATTAAAACACAAAACACATCGTACACATAAAACTGAGCCAAATCTGACCTAGGAAAATTGGCAAGCACAAGAATGATTGGAACAAGTGGGTCGGACTATATTGGTGCTGTTACTCCCATATGTAACACCTCAAAGGACTCAAATAACACAGGCAAACATAGAAAACTTAAAGAATTTGCAGTGAAATCCTGCCACTTCCATATATTTTCTTGGACATTATGAAGATAGATATTCAGGTTTTTTTACAGCTCAGAACATTTCTCCCACAAAGAACTTCTGCATTTTAGTGCCTGTCCCACACTGTCACACTCTTAAGAGAATCTGCACCTCCAGGTAGACAGCTTTTTTATTTCCCGTCTTAAACAGGAAATATGTGACAAAAAAATAAAAGGAACATGTCAAGAAGAAAACCAAGGTCACCTTCTCAAACAGGCCATGGATTCCTTGCACTTGGAATTTCAGTGAGGACCTAGACTGGCCAGAAATGTGCAGAAGGTTGTTTCCTACTCCCAAAGGCACAGGAGTGAACTTGGAGTAAATGTCTTGGAAAAGGCAGATATTAAAGATGCTGGATGTTGGTCAAGTCAGGAAAGACCTGTACAAATTTTATTTTTAAGACACGAAGAGTTTCAACCAGAGATACTCCATGGCTTTAATGTTTCTCCTCCAGGAGATCCCTGATGAATCCACACATAATCAGGGTAGTCAGGGCTCTCTGCCTTCAGTCATACAGGACTAGGATCTGTGTTTTAGGATTCTTCACTCCTCAAACTCACTTGTCTCATGGGGAGCTCAAAGGCAATGAATGCCACTGGGAAAAACATTCCATAACAGCCCCATTTGATTCCCTGCTCCGATAGGAAATAAGAAATAAAACACTTTAAAAATGAAACAGTTCCCTTCAACCTTTGCTGAAAGAAGACCATCACAGTTTATAGTGCTCAAAAGGTGAAGCAGAAATATAAAGAAGATGAAAACAATTACAAACCTTTACACGTCTCTTTGGAAAATATACACTTTTCTGGTTTTCTTTGATAATACCACATAACTCAAAGGGAATACACAGCCTCACATAAAACATCCATCCACCAGAAAAGGCATTTATTGGCCTCAGAAGCCAGATATCACCTAAAACAAAACACACCATTATTTGGACAAAGATGAAATGACTCGTCCTGCCGTTGGAACTTGCAGGGAGAGGCACTTCATCACCAGGCAATATTCAATAGCACTGGGTAGGGAAATCGTGCAGCTCTGAGCATTGGTTCTGGAGCCCACAGCTCATGGCAACTGCATTTGCTCACATTCAGTTCTGTGAATTCTTCTTTATTCACTACGAGAGACAAGCAACATAAAGCAACTCTGAGCTAATCATTTTCTCATTTCCTAAAACATTAATTACACTAATAATTAAGGCATTGCTTTTTCATATTGATTGAAAAAGGAATTAACACAACTGAATAAGCAGCAATTCTCATGGTCAAATTTCCACTAGCCTCCAAAGCATGAGATTAATTTTTGTGTTTGAATGTCCTTAGGACCAGGAAAAGGCTGCAATCTTTCCAGGCATCAACATAAACCTCAAGCTCATGAATAAAAAAAAATACCTATGCTGAATCAAACTTATTGAACAAATGTTAGATGTATTAGAAAAAATATTAAAGGCAGAGTAAGTGAGAGAAAGTGACTCTGTGCCGGTAAAAGCTTAATAACAGCAGATCATCCACTACCCATGAACTACCCAAGACAAATACCTCCTTCTAAACTAGAAATGAAGCTTTAGGAGATAAAACATTTAAAAATGGAAAACCATGCAATAACTACTGAGATTACTCAATTTTCAGGAAGAGGTTTCAGTGGAAATTGTCCTTATTTCAGGCAGTGTTTAGTTTTATTTTATCTCCTTAAGTAGCATGACAGTTTCTTATTAGGACACTTGGCTTAGAGCTTATTTTTTAAATTAAATTTCTGTTATAATAAACTCTTCCATAGCTTAAACCAAAATGTTCCAGCGGTAGCTTGTAGATGTTATTTCAATAAAGAAATGTTGTAAGCTCAAAGTTTAATGATTCTCTAATGATGGCTCTGTTGTTTAATTGGAACAATTGTTGCAGAGACATTTGTGCTCTTTGTCAGTTGCTATTTCTGCTAATGTTCAAGTAAAAGTAAACATGCTTCGGGTTCTGGAACCTCCTTAATCCCTTTGGCAAACAGAAGAGGGGAAGTTCAAAATGAGTGAAAAATGGGACTTATTTTCAGTTTTTAGTCAATGAACTGAAATCTCCACTAAAATTATCCATATTCCAGTATTTTCCACCACACATACCCTCTAGAGCCATTCCTTCCTTCTCACCTCTTCTGTAACATGATCTTATTTCCATGGTCCCAGGGTTTGTGTGAGACAGCAGGTGGAAGAACCACCCAGAATCTTCATTCTTCATTCTTTCAATAAGCTTGAAAGTTGAAAATATTGGAATTTAGGAAAACATTTTTATCTAATTTTCACATAAGCTTCTAAATATATGGCATTTAAACTGTCTTCTTCACTGAAAAATTGAAATAAACCAAATCATATGCACTCAAAATCACTAAAATTATTTAAAATATTCCCCTTAACCCACACTTCCCAGTGAAGCAACATCCTCCTGCAGTCTTTCCATTGTTATTTCCCTTCTTTTCCTTAGTCTTTGCACACAATTCACATCCACTCAACTGAAATGATAGCTCCTTATCTGTCTGAATCTTGGATTTCTGAATTTTGCTCTTGTTTTTCATGGCCTGCCACTGCCTCCCAACACAGGAACCTAAGTGTGTGCTATGCCTTGCCTGCATGGTCTTCTCTTTTTTCCAGACCATTGGCTTATAAAATGAACAAAATTGGTCCTAATACTGATCTCCCGTGGCACTCCACTAATCACTTCCCTCTTTCCCAAGCAACTACCCACTCACAAATGCCTCCCTTTGATGTCTCAGTTGATAATTTATCTATTCACATACCTCAGCTACTATAAAACATCGAAATTACAGACCTTGCAGATTATTCTTTTGTGTTTTGCTCTATCAACAGATTTCCTAAATGCTAGGAAAATTATTTCTATGGACCCAATTTACCTTGTTACTGCATAGCAATGATTTGTTAAACATAATCAAATTTTTGTGGCTGCCTTTAACTGTAATATTCCAGGTGTCTCCACTGGGGCCTGGTATAAAAATAAATGGAGTAGGGAAAAAAAAATTAAACTCCAAGATCCTTCTGTGCACTCATTTACCAACAGAGCTCAGGTAGAAAAACTTGTAACAAAATCTACTGAGTTTATTAATAGATATTTCTCTATACTTGTATTAGTCTCCATAAACAGTTCATCTTTTGTTTTAATGCAATCTGTTAATGAAGGGAGATGTGCTGTTTCTTAGGAGGACAAAGCAGATGATGCAGGAGAGAGAATCTGAGTGTTTTCCTTGCACTCACCTGGTCTAATTTCCAGAATCTCCTGCCCAACATACTCCTGCCTCTTTTCTCACCCGAAGTTTACACACTCCAACAAAGGACAGGACCTGTGTTTTCACCTCATCTGGAGGCATTTGTCCATCCCTCTCCCAGAAGTGCAGTTACTGTGAAGCCTTCAGGTGCTTCCCTGCTGCTGAACTCCACGTGGGGATGGGGAGTAAATGAAAGCATCCCCTGCTCCCACACCCTGGTTTCCCACCCGTGGTGGCAGGGTCTGTTTTGCACTCTGGGATATCTCAGGAAGGTGCAGCTTCACTTGTACTTCAGGTGTTCAGCTGGTGGGCAGGGACACTTCACCCCACGGAGCAGCAAATGTGTGGCACAGACAGAACCAGAGATTTCAGACCTTGGAGTGAAGAACATTGATTGAAAATTGTGCTCCGAGCTGCTGACATCCTTTAGCTATAAAGCAAAAATAAAAGCAGAATAATGTTTGGAAAAGAATAAAAGCTCTGGTTTATATTTACTCCGTGCTCACAAAATTCATTCTTCCTTTCCTTGGCTAGTCAGAGACATAAAAATTCTATTACAAAAAAAAAAAGAGTTTGCTCCAGACCCCATCAAATGTCAGAGATATCCTGATAGCTAAGTGCCAGCACAAAATAAAGCTTAATAATATTGGCAGCAACCTCCTTTCCCAAGACTTCTGTAAGGAAAAGGGACAGACAATACCAGGGTAGCCATGCAGACACTTTTTGGCTCCTACTTTTCCACTGTTTTTTTTTCCAGTATAAACTTTATCCTGAATCCCTTGAATTATTGTCAGAATTCCTATGGATTTTAATGATGTGGTATCACCACTTCAACCTTTCACCCCCCAGCAAAAATATAAAAATAAATAAGGAAAAGGCTATGCCACAGTGCAGAAATGTTGTTCTGCATTCCAAACCAGTCCCACACGTTCCTGCAAACACAGTGACTGCATGGATGTTCCTCTCATGCATAAAAAAGATCCTTAACAGGCTGTCTTTACTCACAGGGCCCTTCAACAGGTATTCCCACTTATGTCTGGAAGTGCTATGTATTGTAAACGTGCACACCATCTTATTTTATATTGAAACAGAAACAGATTGTTTCATATAGTTGAAATAACTGATAACAGAAGGCAGAGCCATGCTAATTTATGTTGATCAGGATCTGTGCACATTTTCAAATTTTTGAAGGGAGGCAACTCGAACTGAAGCTGTTATGTCTAAAACCATCACATGAAGCCCAATTGAGGAGAGCTGGAAAAAACAGTTGTGCAGGAAAAAAAGACAATTTAAAAAAAATAGTTTAATTTAAAAAATCCTCAATTTGAAATTGAGGATTTCTGTGCTGAGATTGAGAAGAAGACCTGCATTTCCAGCAAGAAGAAATATTAATGGATAAGATGCCACGACATGCTGGCACAGTCACAGTTTTGTTTTCTGATATCAAATATACTTTTAGAATACCAGAGATGACATATATTTGGTAAGTGCAGGGCTAAAGAAGCCTTACTCATGCAAAATTAATGACTAAAAATGGCTGAGTATTTTTTCTCACCAAGAAAAAGACAGTTACAAGAACCTGGATTTCCATGTCAATTATCAGGTGAAGAAAAACCTAAAATCTTAACTATAATAAGTGTACTAAAACAAAAGAAGTTTTAAAGTGCTTTCTGTTTTTAAAAAAAAATATAAAGAAAAAAATACAATATTGACTGCCTAAAAAAATATTTTCAAATTATTTTGAAAATAATGCATTTAATTATGGAGAAGACAAAATTTCCTTTTCCTTGCCAAGGTTGATAGAGACCTTGTCTTAGCCATGCCCTACCATAGGAGATACAGAGAAAAAGGGATTTTATTACAGAGGTATGAAATTCAGGTTGAACTCCTTATGTAGATGGATGTAGAGATGCAGAATATGGTAGTATTGAAAAATAAATTTTACACAGGGATTTAAATAAACATATTAGTATTACTTTGGTTTCAGGAGTGGATGGAGTTGTGTTGGGGAAGAACTCTGGGAATGGCTGTACCGGCCCAGAATGAACCAGCTTTTCCCTCCTTTGTACCACTCTGCTCTTTATTTTATGTCCTCTGCCAGCAAACCCAGGGCTGATTTGTATAAAATAACTCCAAATAGAAAAATAAAAGTGGACATATTCTATGCTGCACATCACTTGAGAAATCCCTGACAGACTCAGGATTTGCAGGAGACTGAATTGTTAACTTCTAGAATTACAAATCAAGCATCATCCCATATGGCACTACTTTTCAAATGACTTCCCTGTAAATCACAAAACCAGAATTCTGACTCATCAGCACTGCCACTGACTGTGTCCATGACATGAATCTGGGCTCCTCACAGAACCAAAAATTTACAATATCCCACTTAGTGCCCAGGGTGAGCTGGGAGTAACGCTGGGACTAAGTCAATTCTCCTTCTGTGTCCCCCCTTTAATTTTAAATTGTTTTTTACCTTCTCAAGGCTTTACTTTTATCTTGCGTGTCTTTTCTGGAGCTCCTTGGCTCCCCTCCAGGTGAACACAATATCCAGTAAACATTCATTTTTCTGTAAGTTTTATGCAACAAGGACATCACCAGCATCAGCTGGACCAGTGCCCCATTGCTGTTTTGGTCCTGCTTTCTATTATTCCTATTTATCTATTACCAATTATTTAAACAAGATGACTTCATTTAAATAAAATATCTTCCTTCCATCTCCCTTGTTACAGGACCCAGAGTCAGGCAGAATCTAGAAGTAAATCTGCTTTTTTGTGACACATCAGTGAGTAAAACAAGAAATGTATGTAACAAGGGAGCTTCGTTTAATGACAGCAGAATTTCCTCTCTTCCCCAAAGTTTGCTTTTTTCCTGAGGCATCCAAACAATACCTTTTTCTTGCATATTTATTGTACTCCATCAGTGATTCTGAATCTCCCTCTTCTCCATGTTTGGAATAGACCTGTGTAAGCTTTATCCTATGGATTTCAAGCATATGAAATCAGCAACACCACTACCAAACCCATTTCAAGTAGAGTGACCAACTGAGTCAGTCACAGGAATCAGGACAAATAGAGAGAACTTTCTTGAGCTTCTCAGGGTTTTCCAACACATTAATTTGATATATTGTTACTGAGAAATATTACACCTATATAAAAAAAATAAAGACTCTACAAGAATGACAGGATAAAATATGATTTTTTCAGTAATTCCAACTGTGAATTAGTTAAAATTTGCAGTAGAGCAGGATAGAAGTTTGATCCACACTGCAGCATCCCCACAGCTCACTCCTGAGATTATTTCATTGCCATCTGAAGCACGTATGGAGACACAGGGCCTACTCTAATTACAATATTGTAGTTTTGACTGACAGACAATATGTCTACAATCAACTCATTTGAAAGCCATGTGTTGCGACAGTTCCTTGTCCGACTCCACAGTGCAGAACCAAGACAAATCAGTGCCTTGTTACTCTGCACTAATCCCACAGTTAAAAAAGAGAAAAATCTCAGGAAACACATGTACACAAAGAACAGTGGGGCCAAGAGGTACCCCAGTTTCTTTTTATCTTTTCCTAATTGTTAACATCTGCTGACTCCTCAGACACTGCCAGAACGTTTGAAAACAACACTTCAACACATGTAAACTCCAAAACTACTGATTCCAAACTTCTCAAACTTCACGCGTGTCCCAAACAAAGTTTGAATATGAAAATTTAAAAATCTCCATTTTTGAAGCCACAAGAAACCCCACATTATTACACTTATTCCTTACTCACCCCAATATATCTCTGATGCTGAAACAACGTTTTTATTCTGACCTCACACCGGCCTGGAGAAGTATAATTATTATGCAGCATAACATGACAGAGATATCTGTCATTAGTAGAATTTCTGGAATTTTGAACATACATTTCAATAGCCTAAGTGGACCTAGCTTGGCAATTTAGCTGACCCTGGAAAAGAGTGCCTTATGTTCATCTTGTGCAATCTGTCCAGTAACAGATGTACACCATTAAGATGTAAAGTGAGGTGGAGGAGGATGGGAACAGCAGGAGAAGAGTCAGGCCATTAGCAGAGGAGCCATGAGCTTCCCTAGGCCAGCACCAAGGGAGACAGGAACCTACAAATCACTCAAAACAGGTTTTTCCAGTAAACCTGTGATCAACAAATTACTATTTTTGAAGCGTCGCACTTTATGTTAAATGATATGTAAACATACTAAAAAAAATTTTCAAAAAATGTGAGTGCAGGGTTTGTGGTGAGAGCAGGGGGGTGGGAGCAGAGAGGGTCAGGTGTGACAGAGGGACAACAAAAAAAGCCAGTCCCAAATCACAGCCTGGTGTCAGATGGAGCAGCTTTGCTCTCCCTCCAGCTCACAGGAGCACAAACCACGGGTGGTGACGTTCCCCAGGTGGAGCTGGTGTTGGTGACCTGCCACAGCAGCAGACACAGCGTGGCACCTCAGCAGCTCATCTGATTAGCACCACCAATACACTGGCAGGGCTGAATGGCTTTTTGAGCTCTGTCCTTCCTATTTCTGTGAAATTTTCTCACCTTTGTTTATTCAGTTACTACAACAAATGTGTAAAACCAGACAGGACTCGCAATTAATTGGTTTTTAAAGTGTTCAAAGCGCCACTTTCCAGGATTATCGCAACACAAAAATATTCATCGTATCTGCCCACACCAAATGTTGATATAAATTATTAATTTAAGGGAAATGTGACAATTAAGCAGATTTATTAGCCTTAATTCATCATGCAATTACTAAATGACTTCTTTTTAAAGCTCGTCTTCTCTCTTTCTCTGCAAGCAAAACTGCTTTTGTTTTAGGTACCATATTTTATTTATTGATACACATCATCTTGAGAATGAGCTATCCAAGTTAAATTTTGTAGAGACAGCATTCAATTAACACACAAACAAAGTACATACAGATACTTATTAGCATCACAATAGCAGTCTCCAGGGAGGAAAAAAGTGTCTTTCAGGCAGAGTTTTCAAGTAAATAATTAACAGACAAAACAATCCCTGAAACTGCCGCTAAAGCACCCTTCTATTTGCAGTTTTAGTACAGGGACCTCTAATTGACCAGGGTTGGATTGTTCATCCCTAAAAGTAGCCCCTTTTGCCATGAGGCTGAAACCACAGATGGGAGAATAATGGCCACATTTGTGTTTGCCTTGCCCGTGGCACAATGTCTATTCTGTCAATAACAGAACATCAGGATTATGATTTTTATGTTTTCAGAGGTATGAGAGTCCCTAGCTGTCCGTATATTAGAAATACAGATAGAAAACTTTAAAATGAAATTAATTGTAATAAACACATAGGAAACATGGCTCTTTGGACAACTCTGGTCTTTACCACAAACACAACTTATTCACCACATATTCCTTTGGGTGTCTTTTATAAAAAAACAACTCTGGTTGTGGTTTAGGTTTTTTCCCCCCTCACACATTACATGTTGCTCTGGGAGCTTAAAATATTGTTTTCAGCTGAGCAAAAGGAAATGTCAGGGATAATTTTGCTAAATGTAAGTCATCTCATATTTTCTGTTAATAAGTGCTTTGTGTGTCTAATAACATGCACCTGTGAAGCTGATTTTTCTTTTTCATGTGACCTCACAGAGCTAAAAAGAGACTGTGCCTTCTGCTGGGGCAACAACATGATGGAAAGAATAAACACAGAGATAGCAAAGGCCTCCTAACCCCTCCCCACCCTGTGGGCCATCCTGGGCTGAGGTTTGTTCTCAGGATTTTTCTGGTGAAGAACAAACCTGGACCAACAGATAGTGGTGGGATAAACATGTCTGAAGTGGGCTGGGCTCAGCTCAGTGATCAGGGCAAAACCTCCAGATCAGTACAAGATCAAACACTGGACTTGATGCTCTTGGAGGTTTTTTCCAACCTAAGATATTAAAGCTGCTCCTCCAGGAACTGAACTCTACACAAACTAAGAAACCCAATGATTCCTCCTTTCTAACAGACTCTTTACTAGGAGGTGAAAAATGCTACAGAACAGTGAGAATTTACAAAATCTCATCAGTATTTGGAGTGCTGCTCTAAAATTCCGGTGTATTTCTCCCTGTAGCTAAATACCTTTGATAATGCAAATAGTCTCGAATTGTGAAAATTCACCGTGGTTCCAATGGACTTGGCTTTTCAAACAGATTTCCCAGGAACAAAGTGCACAGATCTTTCCTCCTGGGCTGTCAGACAGGGATAAGCTGTGGGCTTTTCAAGCTCCCTGCCAAAATTTTCCAGGTCTATTTGTTCAGGATGAACAAGGAATGGTATATTTTCTTGTTTTGCAAAGGTGGTTCTTGTTTGACTCCATTCTTCTGGGAATAAAACATTAAAAAGAAAGAATTATAGCCTGATACAGAAAATACCTAATGAAACAAACAAACAAAAATCTTGATTTTTTAAAAAAAAGTCAGATTTCCTACAGAACTTCTACTTGATGTCTTTGTCACAAGGGAAAGCTTCAAAGTTTCTGTTTTGAAAGGTGTTTCATTGTTTATCATGTAAAGGCTCCTGTGAATTGAGGTAAATAGTAATGAATTTCTTCCGATCACTTGACAACTACAAAAGAAGCAAATATCCACTGGCTAATAAGAATTAAAAAGAAAATTGTAGCTTACCTGGTTTCCTGTAAAAAAGATTTTCCTATGCAGAATCAGTAGGTCTCCAAGTGACAAAATATTTTTGCTTTAGATGAGACAACTTTCTCAGCTTTAAAGATGTTCTTTAGAAAATGAAAAATGTATTATATAAATTTTATCCCACACTGAGCCTAACATTAAAATACTTAATCATTAAAAGAAATACGTCTTGTACTATATTAATTTGTACAAATTTTAGATTCCAATTCAATGTGTCTGTGAAACCTGACTGACTGGAAATTTTCCTTTTAAAGTAAATATCTTCTGGTCAATTTTTAAAAATTATTCTGTCTCTGTTTCTAAACTCCTCTGAGCAAGCTTGTTTTATTTTAGGAATGCTCTTTTAGTCAATTATTTAAATTGTAAGGCTGTACAACAGGATATGGTCTGTAGGGATCTGTTATGTACTGATGGGTCATTTATTTATGAAATTTCTGTGCTCTGTGCCTGCTAAAATATTGATGTTCTTCCCCTTTGCTCCTTTTTTCTGATTTAAGTAAAATGGTAAGTATTGAATTGAATTAATTTAAAGATTAGCCATTATAATGAAGTCTTATTTAATCATTAAGAGAAGCCAAAAGAGGCGAAATGTGGCTGACAGAGTTTAGTTTGGAGCAGAGTGAAGCTTCTGTAAAGTCTCACCCACATTCTGGTTTAAATATTATGTTAGTTTTCCTGAGGAAGGAAATGTCATTGTCACCTGCATCTCTGCCCCTCCCGAGGAGGTGACATTATTAATTTCCATATTATTATTATTAAATTATAATATATAATAAAATAATTTATATATTAAATATATTTAAATAGTTGTTGAATATATAATTATAATTATTATATATAATAATATAATATATAGTAATAAATAATAATAATAAAATCCCTCTTTATTATTCACTTGATCTTCACATTTAAACAACAGCCATGGCTAGCTAAAAGTGTTCAGGTAATTTAATTTTGCTAAAATTTTTGCAAATGCCTAATTCTCTTTAAGTATCTGCCTGAAGCCTTCCATTTATTTATGGGAAATGATCACTCATTGTGTATTTTGTGATTTGGCACTGCTCTCTTTTACCAGAAAGCTGCTTTTACAAGAGTCTCATGTAAGTAAAAAATTTCCTAGCTAGCACAGTTTTCTAATTTAATTCCTGTTTTTTTCATCCTTACATGAGAAATGAGCCTTGCTGGCCAAGCTGAGGGATTGGTGTGAATGTGGTCTGAGGTGTCATTTGTAAAACAATGAATTATTAGAAGAGCTAATAGGAACAACCTATGATGATGCAGTGTCAAGCAAGGCTATTTGTCCTTCATAATCCCTGCCTTTATGGGT